GGGGGGGGGGGGGCATGGGTACTTGTTTACATGCGTGCCCGCTTTTCGCCGGAGGGCGTATCGTGGGTTGGGCGGGGAGGAAATATGGCAAGCATGCGCTATGACTTTAGTGGAGAGCATACATGGCCATGCCGTTGCGTCATTGTAAGGGCAGTTTTGCTCATATCGTATGGAAAAGAGAAACAGAAGGTGCTGGGTGGATTGGTCAAGGAGCTCCGAACCGTGACTACGTTCTGGAGTTGGCGTTTGTGTTGGGTTCGTTTTTGTAAGTATCGCGATGTAGTTCCGCCGCATGTTGCGGAAGGAACTCGGGTAGTGGTTTAGGATGTTTCTCTTTTATCCCCTCTCGGCTGCCACGCGTGGTGGGCGCCGGTCACCCCCGCCGCCCCTCAACATCGCGCATCAGAGGCATTCCGCTGTTAGTGTCGCTGCTCAGTTCCCAACAGCGACGATGGGCGGATGTCTTCCATGTGCTACGGTGACACCCTGGTGCATCAGCGAGAGAGAGAGAGAGAGAAGACGAGAGACAATTCAGTGGGGACTTAACGGACAGGCTCACGTGCCCCAGTGTTTCGTAGCACATAGCTGACGGCCGTTCGCTGTTGTTGAGATGTACGGAACCAGCAGCTGTACAGCGAGGATATACTAGCCCAGTCTCAACATGCCACCGCCCGTCACTATGCGGACTACTTCTTAGCAAGGAGGCACCGTGTCCCTTCGGCTGTCTTCGTTTTTGCCGTTTTTTGTGCTGTGACAATTCCCTGTGACCACTGGATATGTCACTTTGCGGCTCGACGCGTACGCGCAATGGTTTTGCCCGCCAGAAAAAATGACAAAGCGGCAGCCCCCGTCCTCAACCACGTGCACCTGGTCCGCGGTTTGTGTGAGGCTCTCCCGTCTATTGCGTTCCCCGTGAAGCGACGGACAGATCCGTCGCTTTGGATGGACAGCATAGGCGTGCATCCCCCCCCCCCCTGAATTCTTTACGCACCCCCTGCCGCCGTGAGAGTCATGACCGCAGCGGTGAGCGACTTTCTTTCAAATGAACGGGGGGGCGTTAGCAGGCAAAAGGAAGAATCCCGCCTCTTCGCACGCAGTCTCCATGGAGGGCACGCCGCAGTGTGCTCGTTTTGGGTTCTCAATTCAATCAAGTGCGACGGTGAACATGCGCCAGGACCATGTGATGCAATCAATCGTGGGCATGACAATCTCCCCCGGGGGCCACAGGCGACAACACGAAGGAAGGACACATCTGATAACGAGCACCGCTTCGGGGTGGAGGTGGTGGTCGAAGGAATCTACTAGGTCGCCCTTTTTCGATGGAATTGCTCTTTGCAACAGCTGTCTATCCTCCGTTGGAAGGGGAGGCACAAAAAGATCCTGCGTCGTCACGAAACATAAGAGGGAAAAGAACATTCAACCAAATGGGAAAGACGACAACACACAAACTGCGCGCAACAAAATAGATGCTGGACACCTTCCAACGGCAACACACCACGCCACCGGAACCGCGCGGGCCTCTACCCTCGTGAAAAAGGCAAACCACGATACTTCAAAAAAGAGGGCTACCTACTAACATTTCAGGGAGCGGCACCACCGCTACTGGTTCCCCCGCCCCGAACCCCAGGCTCTCGCGATGACAAGGAGAATGAAAGGAGCGTCACCGGCCGCCGCTGGTGCAACGACGTCAGATATCTGGCATGTCGACCGATAAGGGCAGTCGGAATCCCACGGCCGGACGCTTGCCCTCGACACCACACCAGAGTGTACACCTCCTCCTCGGTGCCCCGCCCCCCGCCGCGCACCCAAGCCGGATGCATACACATGCAAGCGCAATGTGCCTGTTACCCCGGCGATCTGATTTATTGTGTTTGTTGCGTCAAGAGACAATAACGACTGTGTACCATTAATCAATCTGTGTCGTCGAGATTGAGCTGCAGCGCGTCCTTATCCTTGTACTCCAGCCCCAGCTGGCGGCACACGGCCCACCCCGGCACGAGCGGCACGACCACGACCGCCATGTAGCCGCAGCGGGCCCTAAACAGCACCACCATCTCGGCCTTGGTGTCGTAAGACTCCACGGCGGCCTCAAGGGGACTTCTAATCACCTAAGATAGATTAAACATTCATGGCATATTCATTCTCATCGTCAAACATTCCATCGCATACTTTTTTGTCAAAGCTTCGAAACGAGAGACGCGCCTTCCCAGGGAGGCGCAGTCCCAAACGGGGATGGCACCCGGAGGATTGATTGCTGCGGAATAAGCAAGCATAATATGTGGCTAGCTGCGTATTGTTGCTGCTATTCACTCAATAGGACACGTCGCCAAACAAAAACGTCCGACCTCTCGACTGGGGCCAGCCGTAAGACACACAAAAAAATACCATTGATTCTCGCCAGTTGCTTGGCGGATATTGGTGAGGTACGCAGGGCGGAAAGAGGCAGCCTCCCCGACAGAGGCAAGGAGGAAGGAGGAGGCGCGGCAACGCTTTGGTGGCGGTGGAAGCAGACTACACGCAGCAGCACGACTTCAACCACGACCACCACCAACACCAACAACGATAGCAACGGCGACAACCAAGCCATCGGAAAAGGGGGGGCAAAACACGCAGGACAACGGCTTCACTCACCCCGAGTTCAAAGTCGTCCTGCAGAACGGCGTCCACGAACTCTCCCATGCTCAGAAAGTGGAGGATGATGCTGCGGTCAAGCCTGCGCCCGTTGCTGTTGACGGGTCGCAGGTACTCCAGCTCCAGCACTGGATTCGGTGTCTGCTTCGGCAAGACGAAGTAGGAATGGATCGTGTCGGTGGGCTGTATGACCTACCAATACATGTATCACAGCACGTGCTCCCCTTTCCCTCTTTACCAACGCAGCGCCCTCAGCTGTTCCACCTGCTGTTTCGCCTACCACGATGCCCCTACCCCCTCCCGTGCTTTCCTCTTCGCGCGAACGCGCAGCCACTGCCAACGCCTTCCCTCGTCTTGAAGCAGCCGAGCTTCGCAACCGCCACCTCCTCGACCTCATCGCGCGTTCAACCATGGTCGCCATGACGCCCACGGTCAAGCAGGAGTCGTCATTAGCACTGGAGGGGCTCCTCTATCTCCCGGAGCTGCGTGCCTCGACCACCGGCGACGACGTCTCGCGGTCCAAGGCCATCCCCCGCCCGCCGAACCTCACCCGTTCTCCTGGCGCCTGTCCCGTGAACTTGTACGGCCTTTACCGCCAAGGTTTCGACCCCCCACGCCGCTTCGGCGGCGCCTGCCCCTGCGGTCCCTCCGCTGCAACCCCTACAATGCCCCCGGTGTTTCAGTTTTCCGTTCCTATGGGCTGGTATGACCTGTTCCGAGAAGGAGTACGTCTGCTCCAAGAAGGGTCGCCGGGAGTCATGCGAGGAAGTCGACGGCGACCGCCTCGCCGGACTCCCCGTACTCCTGCTCGGAACAGGTCATACCAGCCCATAGGAACGGAAAACTGAAACACCGGGGGCATTGTAGGGGTTGCAGCGGAGGGACCGCAGGGGCAGGCGCCGCCGAAGCGGCGTGGGGGGTCGAAACCTTGGCGGTGGAGGCCGTACAAGTTCACGGGACAGGCGCCAGGAGAACGGGTGAGGTTCGGCGGGCGGGGGATGGCCTTGGACCGCGAGACGTCGTCGCCGGTGGTCGAGGCACGCAGCTCCGGAGATGGAAGAGCCCCTCCAGCTGCTAGTGACGACTCCGGCTTGACCGCGGGCGTCGGTGGCGACCATGGTTGAACGAGTGATGAAGTCAAGGAGGTCGCGGTTGCGAAGCTCGGCTGCTTCAAGACAAGACAAGCGGTTGGCAGTGGCTGCGCGTTCGTGCAAAGAGGAAGGCATGGGGGGGGGGGTAGGGGCATCGTGGTAAACGAAACAGCAGGTGGAACAGCAGAGGGCTCTGCCGTGGTAACCGAGATTACAGCTCGAGGAGCTGAAGCAGCAACTAGCATTGGGGGTTGGCAGTCGAAACTGCAGGCACGGGAGACGTGGCGCGAACCCGTACAGCAGTGACGGATGCGGGCAGAGACGAAGCTGCTGGCATGGAGACCTGCTGTGTGGGCGGCAGTCGAAGTTGCAGGCACGGGGGCCGCTGCGCGGACACGACGAGCAGTGGGAATCGCTAGCATAGTCCAAACTACCGGCAGAGAAGCCGGTGTGCGAGCACGGGAAGCAGTCGAAACTGCAGGCATAATCCAAACTACCGTTAAAGGGGCAGAGGCACGGCGTTCGTGGTTCCTGCCGTCGCGTGCAGCCGCTTGGGTACCACAACTACGAGATGTAAAGGGGGGAATCACCTGTACTGAGCAATCGAAATGCACCGTACTGCAATAGCAACAGTAGAGCTACGAGACAAAGAACGCGACACCGCGGGCTTAGCAGCACGGTCAAGACCAAGAGCAGCAGGCTCAGCAGGGGGTGCTGCAAGATGAGAGGAAAATCAGAGTCAACGGCGATTCCCGCGGGCGGGAAAATCGAGGTTGTCGAGGCAAGCAAAGCGCACCCGAAGGTACTACTGTACTGCAGCGGAAACCGAGGGTTCCGGGGTGGGTGCCGGCAGTTTAGGACAGCACCCGAGGGGATAGCGCCGGTCGGTCGAAGCCGCAGAGGCGAACCTCTCCTGCTTGCTCAAAACGCCAAGCTCAGACAAACGGCTGGCTTCCGCAAGCGACTCTGTCGCGGAAGCACCTTGGGGCGAGAAAAACGAGCTGGGGGCCATTCCTGTTGCATCCCTTGCGCTACATGAGCAAAAGGCACAGATGAAACCCAAACTCTCAGAAGGCGCAGGGCTTGCCGAAGGATTGTCTGACGGACCGACCCACAGTTAAGACAGGTACCAAGCAAACGAACCAACGTGCAAGAGCTGTGGCTGACGAGCAAGGAAGGGCAGCAGCTCGTTCAAAAACCAGCAACTTACACCACGTAGACACGAAAAATAGCGCCAGAAAGCGCAAGCCCACATGCCGATAACGCCAAGTGGAACATAACTAAGGGGCGTGTGCAATCTGGACGACCCATTATGAAGAAATCTTCTGTATGCAGTGGCTGGTGTGGAGCAGCAGTGCAGTTGTTGTCCTGTCTACAGGTAGGAACGACACCGGTGGGGAAGGATCGGCTCCTTCAAGCAGGGGCTACTGGATACTGTCCCCTGATTCATCCTTCCATCGGGGAGTTACATCTTCCCGCTCCTTCTGGAAGAAATTACATCTTCCCGCTCCTTCTGGAAGAAATTATATCCTGTCTACGTGCTGCATACAGAATCCTATACTCAAAATCCCGGAACACAACGGTTGTGCGGTCGCGCAGCAGTAGATATGCGTAAAATCGTCGCAGAAATTCGAAAAGTGTACAAGTAAGCTTAATTTCCATATGTATGATGTGTGTACAATGTGCCTCTTTGACCTTGACGTGTCAGTGGGAGGCAGTGGGACTGTACTGTACTGTAGCAGTTCGTTTTCAACCCAAGGAGAAAAAAAAGAAAGAATTAAGACAAATACGACGTCATCGATTGTTTCACCTGTACGAAAATGAAGCCTCTACCGAGCGCCTCCCCGTGGCACACCGCGAACGGGCACAGGTAGAGCCGCACCCGCCCGAGAACCCTCGCCACCACGCCCTCTCTGTCGAGCGGCGCCCGGCCACCCCCCGCGTCCCCGCCTCGCATTTCCTTCAGCTGGCCGCACATGGCCTTATGATCCTTCTTCCAGTCGCTCACCTTTCGCGACATTTTTTACCCCGTGCAGTACCGAAAGAAAAGGAAGCGAATCGAGAGTGCCGCGATATAGTGACGCCATTGTCAAAGTACGCGAGGGTATATTTGAACGGACATTTTTTTTTTGTCTTCGCCGGAATCTCATACATAAAGAGATAGATGCTGCTTGTAGCAAGCTGGGATTCCCGACCCGCGACTCAAGCGGGATGAGTCCACCAGTGTCAGCACTAGTCTAGAGCCGTAGCAGTAGTGGCAAACCAAAAGTGCGGTCACCGCGAGGCCAGGGCTCGGGGGCGGGGGACCGGTGGTAGATTGGGGGTATCTAGGATACGGAGAAGGTGTGAGTAGTCACCTGACACTCCCGGCTGCAGTACTTGGCGCCGCACTTGGAACAGCAGCAAAACGGACGCCCCGTGGGCTCCTCCGTCTTGTTGCACGCAGCGCGTTGACAATTCGCCAAGCATAGCCCCGGCGGAGCGCGTGCGGTGGCCTTCTCTCCTGCCAGCTGAGCAAAAAACGAAAGAAGCCGGAAGGAGATGGAATCGAGATAAGTGTGGCGCGGTTGGGCAGCCAGCTGGGGGGTTCGGATAGTAGCAAGTGTTGGCGGGATTGTGTGCTGTGCCGGTCGCGTCGACATTCCGACGATTTGACGATTTCAGCTAAAAGGAAAAGGCGTGCGAGGAATTGCTGTGCATAATGCTACATTGGACTGTGACTATTAAAGTATTTTACGCGATTGGCTGATAGACTCCAAAACGGACTATGCATTGAGGCCGACAGACACAAGCTTTCGATTTGACCCGCATCACACATTGGTCATACGTATTTGAAGATGACGGGTGCACGTGAAACATGGTAAGATGAACCTTCTTGGTCTCCCTGTAGGTTAGATGTGTTGATACGCCTGCTTAGTTCTTATGGCTACACTATCCATGTACTGCTGTAGATGCGCTCGTGTAGACTACTGCTGCTTGCTGTAGATACTGCTTAGGCTCACGCCGCGGTTGCTCAGGTTGATTCCTTTCGACCGGCTTCGAAAATTTATGGGTCTTTGGAAGGTTTCTGCAAGTACAGCAAACGTAGACTGCAACGGAACATGGAACTTGGCGGCTACTGCCGTTCGGCTGGAGTGCAGTACATTGACAGGCGGCGCCTCTGCGCGGCTTGCGGAAGCCGGCACAGAGCAGGCGCCACGGGCAACGACGACCGCCATGCATGATGATATACATGTTGCGTGATTTGTGTGTGGGATTGGGTTGCATCTACAAAAAAAAAGCTGGTGTTCGTGCAGCTACAGAGCTGCCGTGCAATTACTACGAGGTTGGGCCGTGGGTTCTCTCGCTTTCTCTTGTGTCACTCTCGCCCTCTCCCTGCCCCTGCCGCTTTCTTACCGCATACATAAGATCCAGCTCAAATTTAAATACCATGCCGTCCGCGCGCGTCTTCTCTATGTCGCTGATTATCCGCATGCCCTTCTTGATGCTCTCGCAGACCTCCCCCGATACAACAGCAGCCTTGACCTCCTCCTCTTTGGGTTCCGTCGCTGTTGCAGACGTGGGTGTCGCCGACGTGCGACCTTGCCCTTCCGTATCCATGCCGACCTCGCTTTTTGGGCACACTTTCTTCCTCGGCAGCAGACTCGTCCCCTCTATTGCTCCTTTTCTCCCAGAGTCTCTTGGGACGTCTCTGTCCCTGTCTCTTATGCTACGTCCCTCGTGATGAAATACCGGCAGCGGTTGGGGCAGACGGAGGGGGTGAAGAGCACCCGGGGTAAGGGAGAGTCTGGAGTCCGGTGGATGGCGTGTGTGACCGTGATGGACGGGACTGTGAAGACGGGCCGAGGGGACACACAGCCAGGAGGACGGGGCACCGTGAATCAGCGAGAGACGCTCGCTCTCTCTGTCTCTCTGCAGCTGTGCTGCGTCCCTCGCCCACTCTGCTCGGGAATTACCGAACACGGTGCTCACGAGAGTGATAGGGCCATGAGCTGAAGCAGGCCGTTTGAGTTTGTCTTCGGGGTTCTGATTAGCCTGCCACCGGTCTCTCAGGAGTAACGATATCGATCAGTTGACTAGCCAATTCGGAACAGCAAGTCGCAGATTCGTAAAGCCAGCGAGACCTCGCACGAAATATTACACACACACTGCTGTTGTTCTGTACGGTCTTTCAGCGAACATGTCACAGCAGCCGCAGCAGCAGCTTGCCGGAGCGGTGGTGGTGCTAGCCTTGTCGATCGTCACGCTCGCCGCCGTGCTTGCGGGCATGGAGCGGGGTCGGTCACGGCGGCACGCGAAAGGGTGCTACCATAGTCCACATGCGGCGGTTACCCGAGAGGGCGCCAACACGGAGAGTTCCCCCGCGGCGCCTGCACTCGGGTCGACTGAGGAGGGAAATGGAAAGGTCGTGGGGGTGGTGGAAGCGAGCACACCGCCCGGCGGTGGTGCTGCTGCAGGCGGGCGGACTTCTTCGGTTGCGGAGGGTTCGGCGGGCCGGCGGCTGGAAATCCTGGTGCACAACATCTCGCACAAGGATATGGTTCTGTCGCTCAGGAGGACGCGGGAGGCTGCCGCCGCGATGCCTCGACGGCCTCCGACCGGGGAAGAGGCCATGAGCAACGTCATCGATGCGGTGAGCTGCACACAATAATTTGGACTTTTTAGCGCAGCATGCGCCGTCGCCTGCATTCTGCATTCCCTGCGACGATAGAAACAACCACTAAACATGCTATCGTTTGTTAGTGATCCAATATTTGGATTGGCACGCGGAGGGCGGCCGCCGCTGATATCTCCCTAGAGTCTAAGGGTAAACCCCACATTTTCCCAACAACAGCACCGTGTTGGTGCTGCTGCCGGCGTAGCCGGCGCTTGTTCCTCCTGCTGCTGCTGCTGCTGCTGCTGCTGCCGCCCCCGCCTCCGCCGTGGTCACCGCTGCGAACGGAGCCTCCCTCAGCGATGATGGAAAAGTGTTGGATGGGACTTCAAGTTTGCATAAAGCAATTCGACATTACAAATTAGACTATTTCTTATATACTCTACATGAATACATTTCAAAGTTTCCAAGTGTAAGTTTCTGTTTTTCTCGCCCCACGCAAGAAACCAAATACGTGAAAAGGTGTTGCGGTCCATACCCTGGATATCCTCCTGTTGTGCTTCGTTGGAATGCGTGTGGCATTCCGCTAATCCGTTAACCTGCAACCATGCGTACCAAATGAAAGTCCGCAGGACTATCTTTCCGTGCGTGGGTGGCGTGGTCTAAGTCGCCAATATTTACAGTTCCATGTGCGATCGCCGCTCTCGATCTCACTACTCCCGCCCCCGCTGCCCGCTCTCAGCGCTTGCTCTCATCCCGTACTCATCTTCAGCAGTGTTGAAGATTTTGGACTCCTCCTCTCTGAACGGAATTTTCCGACTACGAAATCTTGGGGCCAAGTGGGCCACCCCGCCGTAGGCGGACGCTGGAACAGTCACACCTTCAAAACATAACACTCCCTTTTCTAATGTCTTCAACAACATCCAACGACTTTGCATATCACCAAGCCCAACTACATCTCGACACTTCCCTTCCTATCAGCGCGCACATGCACCACGCTCTCCGCAAGCGCGCGTTTTGGCGACCGGCTTCACGGTACATGGGGGGCTCGCTCGAATCGTCGAGGTTGGCGGCGGGCACATGCCTGCCGAAACCCTTGCACTGCCACATACGATCTGTTGCTTCAACGTCCGGCCGAATTCACTCGCGGGACACGAACGGAAAAACTGCTGCGTGCGTGTCCGCGACAGGCCGACACGGCGCTCGCACGGCCGAAGTTCAGCCTCTTCAAGCGATCGAGCGAACTTATCCTGCACAAGCTGCAGGACATGCGGGCGGCGGGCGGGAGCGAGCCGCCGCCGGCCGTGTGCCCGGTGTACCGCCGAGGGGAGCCCAGTTTAAGGTCCGGGCCGTCCTCTGCTCCACGAGAGAGGTGAGAAAAACGGGAAAGAACGGCGGTGGAGGAGTAACGACAAGGAGAGGAAAACATAAGAGTATGTGTATAGAGGTGTTGCGACCGAAAACGCTACAGCGGAATATATTTCACGGGGTATAGGCGAACGGATTGCGCCCCCCTCTCCTGAACACGTTCTCCCACCCCAAGCCTGGTTTCAAGATCAGAAGGGAATAAAATGCCGCGGTGCCGCCTTTTTCTTGGAGCTCTTTTCGATACGCGCAAGGAGGTGCGGGTTTGGAGTTTGCTGGTAAGCCTTGCAGGTGTGTTACAGCTTGAGGGGCAGACGGGACGGCGTTTGCTCAGGGGTCATGCATGCGTCAACCCAGTCGCGGTTGGTTACTTCTCTCGGACGCCGCCCCCAGTTCCAAGCGATGGACAATACGGTTCAAACAACACTCAAGCAACACAACCACCAATTGATGACGAACGAGATGTTTTCTCGGGGCTCTCTGGTTTTTTTTTTTTGCGCCCTGTCACCGTCTCTCGTAGCGCCGCTCACGACACCTCGCCGCTTGGCGCCTTTTCTTCGCAGCGTATCCGTCGGGTTCGACCTGGACGACACGCCGATACCGATCTTCGACCTGGCCGGCTACCGCGTCCGCAGCGAGGACCTAGACCGCCTCGCGCCCGCCGCCGGCCGCCGGAGCTCCTCGAACCTCCTGCGCAAGGTCCTCAACAGGAGGGATTCTTCTGGGCTGTTCCTGGTCGGCAGTGGCGGCGGCAGCGCCGGCGCCGGCGGTAGCGGCGGTGGCGGTGGAACCGGTAGATTACTCCCCGTGCAAGATCCCGGACGAAGGCAGCTGCTGCGGCAGCAGCAGCCCCAGCTGCAGCAGCTGAAGGAAGACGGGAGTGGGGACGGGGGATGCGGCGGCGGCGGCAGCGGCGGCGGCGGCGGCGGCGGCGTGGGGGGGAAAGGCGAAGGGGAAGCGTTCATCAGCGGGGTGTACTTCCCGCTGCTATCCGTCCTCATGCCCAAGTGGATGGAGCTGCTGGCCGGGAGCGGGGACGACGTGGATTCGTCCAAGACGGTGCTGCTCGTTAGCGGGGTGGGACAGCCCCGCAACGAGGAGCACCGCCTGGAGGACAACTCTACCGAGGTCAGAAAACGAGCAAGGTTGCGCCGTCTTGTTTCTGCCACGTTTCACGCCCGACCAAACGTTTCCTGACTTGTCGGCGTCTCGCGGCCGCCGTTCACTGTAGCCTGGCGAACAGCGATGGTACTTGCTCTTTTTGTCCCGTGAGCTTATTTCCGTTGCGCATCATCCGCCTCTTGGTGTCTTGTTGCTCCGGGTGGTCCGTGCCCTACCCGCGCCGACTCGCGCCTTCCTCCCACGTTGCCGCACGGGTGGTTCCTTCGCACCCTCTTCTCCTCCTCCGAGTGCTGTCACTGCTGTCTACCGCCTTCCAAAGCGATCGCTTGCCCCGAAGTCATCCGTGAGTAGTAGTAGGGCTGAAGGCCGCATGGAGTGTGCTCCCGGTTGCAATCAAGCCGTGTGCTGTTGCTTAGTTTTCGAACCCGTTCTTGTCATGCCCTTTTTCCTTTCCAGGCGATGCCCCTTGTGCCGCTAGGGAAGGGGCACAGTGTGGCACAGATAACACTAAATGTGGCTAAAATCCACGAGATGGTGACAGCTTGAACGAGAAGTGATGTCTGTTCCCCTCGTGACCATCTCTACGCGTTTGTTTCTCTATCTCGTGTGATGGCGCGCTTAATTATCTCGGTTTCGTTACGACATCACGGGCACAGGTGACAGCGGTCCTGATGGAGGCGTTCTTGAAGAGGCACTTCCCCAGCGTTCGCGTCGTACGAGTGCACTCCGACACGAATATTTTCAGGTGTCTAAATGCTGCTGCTGTTGCTGCTGTTGCTGTTGCTGTTGCTGTTTTTGTTGTTGTTGTTGTTTGTCCTTTCGTGAGCTAAACTTCCAGCGGTAGGATCGTTTACCTCTCACCGCGTAAGCTTACATATCAGCGGTTTGAGTCATCCTCGAAACGGCCGCGTTTCGTGTGCCTCTCTGCCTTGTCTAAACAACGTGTGTGTTCCGTTCATGCCAAGCTCTCGGGTGATGTTGTTCTTGAATTGGATCAGGTATGACGACAACATCCGCTTCGTGAAGACGGAGCTGTTGCCCCTGCTCAACGCCGAGCGCAGCCAAATGGCGGAGAAATACGGAGAGGATTGGCAGGTTTGGTGGTTCTGCTGTTGTAGCATTGCTTGTCATGCTGCTCTTGCTGCCGTACTTGTTGCTCGTGCTGCTGTCTTCTCCTCTGTTCTTGACCCTCTCTCGCTCGCTCTCGCTCTCTCTCTCTCTCTCTCTCTCGGTCTGTCTGTCCGTCTGTCTGTCTGTCTCTGTCTCTGTCACTGTCTCTGTCTGTCTACCTGTCTCTCTCATGCCGCCCCTCCTGCTCTTCATTGCTGCATCTCCGGTTCCTACGCCTCCTCCGTTCGCGAAAGGACATGATGCACATCACCATGAGCTTCGCGGACGGTTCGCCGGCGCGCATTTCCTCCATCAACGCCGCCCTCCGGCACTTCAAGCCCTCCTTCATCCACATCTGGGAGCTGAAAACCTTCTGGCACGAGAAGGCTATCTGCGAGGACGACGTGGAGGCGAGTCCGTGTTGTACTGTTTTACGATCCCGATCCCCCAACGGTTCCGTGTTTCTTTTTATTGTCCCACAAGATCATCTTGTCGCACGAGAATGTTCTTCTTTTGCATCTTCTGCGGGGGACGACGACATCCGAGGGATCTTACCTCCGAGGCCTGGCGCAAGGATGTGATGCTTCTTTCACCGCCAGGGGGTTTCCAATGTAGGGTGTACGGGGACACCCCCTGAAGGTGCCATCTCTCTTCGTGTGCCACCGTCGAACAGGGACATCTTGCACGCTATGTTCACCTTTGTTTGCGGGTGTGTGTATCGTATCGCGTATCGTCCCTGGGGTTGCCTTGTGCGGCAGTCCGTCCGCCGCAACGAACACGCTGTCGTTGTTCAGCGTTTTTGGGGCCCCAAAGAGGAACTAGCAACATTGCCACGGGGTCTGTTGTTCTCCGTTGAATACCGGCTGTGAAAGTGGTGCTGAGGAAGCGAAATTTTGTGGACTCATGAAACAGAAATGGAGCTGCTGTGTCGGCAGGCCCCACATTCAGCAAAGCTATGTTGCAGTGCCGTGATACAGTGTGTGTAGGTGCTCAACAACGGTTTTTCCCTTCGGACAAAAATCGCTCGACGGTAGGGTTGCACCTCGTCCCACGCCCGTCCAGCTCCCTCGGTCTCCTCAGAAGTTCAACCTGCGACGCTTACGGCCTTGCGAGGCATTCGTGCCCACACAGGGCGCACGCCAGCAGTCCTACATCGGGCTAGCCCATCACCGTGTGTGGTCGTAGCACAGGGATGATCCACACCGATTGGCTGATGGCGACGAGAACCCACCCCATATTTCCACGTGACCCGCTATTTTTTTTCGTTCATTGTTTGTCCAGGTGCACACCTTCGAGGACATCGACATGCAGCCCCCGATGCCGGTCTCGGAAGTGGACGCTCCGACGGCCCTGATCATCGCCGAGATGCAACGCCTCAGGGACGACCTGGAACGGGTTCTTGCGGCACCCCCCCGTGGAGGTACCGCTCATTCTCCTCCGCGTCCTCCCTCCCTGTCGCGGGCAACGCGCATGTATGTTATTGTAGGAGGCGTGTTCTGTTCCGCTCGCCGACAACAACAGTTGTTCTCCCTGCGGACGGAGAGAGCGTGAGATGAGAGTTTGTTACCAAGCAGCAGGCGGCGATGTGTGTTCCCTCTGTCGGGAGGTATGTGTGGGTGTTTTGTTGCTGTTGTTGTTGCTGTTTCTTGCATCTGGTCTGGTCCCCTCTGTCGTGAGCGGAAAGCCTACACCTCTCGGTAGGCGTTCGACGCACCAGCGGGGGATGCAAACGGGGAAGGTAAATGCGTGCCATCTTAATTATTTTCTCCGCACGTATTATGGATTTTCACGCAAGAGGGGTTGAGCTGCGGCCCCTTCCCCCTTTTGGTTGGGTGCCGAGGGCACTTTTCGCTGTTCACTCCAAAATTTGCGAGGTTTTGAAGCTGGAGAGATGTGAATCCACCAACATAGAGCTAGAAGAGACATTCTACGAGACTAAAGTGCCAAGTTCACACCGCTCAGCCTGACCGAGCTCGATGGGTGATGGCGTTTCTTTTGTTGCCTCTTCTCTCCACCGTGGTGCGTGTATTTTCCTGGTGATATCTGTGATACCCAATATCTTGTCATATATGCTATCCATGTTTCTTGTTGTCAAGGCTAGGGTCTGTAGTCGCCGTGTTACTGATGCAGCGCTCTCGTGTTCAATGGGGTCTACTTCTGTGTCTCCTTCTGTGTCTACGTGCTTGCTGCTGCTGTGGGCGGCGTTAAAAAAGCCGTGGTTGGTGGCGACGCTAGAGACGACCTGGCGACATTCTGGCTGAGGAAGACGAAGAAGCCTGTTCTTGCGGTTCTCCTTGTGCAGAAGAAAGGAGGCCAGCCCCAGCTCTTCCGCGGAACAAACATGGAGGCGAGTTCAAAAATGATACTGTAGGCATCATATTGTCGACGACCGTCGCCAGGAAGCCACCCCGGTTCTCTTCCCGCTCCGCGCTCCTTCTGTTGCTTGACGTCGACCACGGCCTTCGTTCGTTGCAGCCACAGCAGTGTCGTTCTGACAGAGACAAAATTTGAGCGGTAATTCTGCTGATTGTGACCATGGTTCGGGGCTCCTGCGCGGCGGACCCATTGTATGTACCGTGAGCGCTGAACAAAAGTGACGGGAAAAAAAAAAGGTCTGAAGCCTGTACGCCCCTCACTCTCCGACTTCCGCCGCATCCCCCCCCCGCGACACGCCGTGCACGCGTAAAAAAACATCATTATTCGTTCGTGCCGGGGAATACACACACACACAAAAAAAAAAAACACAAGGTTTCAATGCCCACGGGATCGCTGTGCGCCGAGCGTAACGTGATCGGCTCCGCCCTCACGTCCGACCTGAGCCTCCTCCGGAGAGACATCAAGGCGGTTGCCGTGCTGTCCGTGGCCCACCTGGGCGGATCTACCGCCTCTACCGCCACCGCCGCGGCTGCTGTTGTCATGGATGGAAGAAAAGAAGGCGCTTCGTTGCATGGTATCAAGGCTGTCGATAGTGGCGGCGGGCAGAGCGGGCGGCTAGGGGCCGCCGGATTGGGGTCAGCAGTGGGGTCTTCCGTAACAACGTCGTGCGCACCGTCGCCGCTTTCCCTGACGCCGGCGATGAAGGTGTCCCCTAAGACCGCGTTGTTGCGGACGGAGACGGGGGGGGGGGCGGAGGACAAGGAACGGCTGGAGGGGGTTCGCCAGGTCCGTGTTTTTTCTCCTGCGTTCGATCAAGGGAGGTTTTTTCCGGTGTTGTTGTTTTGCCACCGTTTGTTGGTGACGTTCGTTCGGACAACGTCGTCGCACTTGTTTGTTTGTCTTGTCGGCTATGGTAGGGGTTGGCGAGGTGGGGGCACGTGAGCCGATGGACAAGGCGGTGTTACTGGTACCCCGCTGATCGAAGGTGTCGGCCCCGTTTCCGATCTTTTCGTGGGGGTCACTTCTACCCTCCCCCCTTCTTGGTGAATTTATCGCACCCGCGGCCCTTAATCTTGATCCCCTGTCCCCGCCCATTCGTCATCGGGCTGCCCTCGACAAACAAACCTGCTTTGCGAGGAAGGCACTATTCGCAGTGGCGTCCGAGACAAGTGCTTCGCCGGCGGGTACGCCAGCAGCAGCAGCAGCAGCACTCGAAGCAGCGGCAGCGGTAGCCGCGGAAGGACCACCCGAAAGGCCTGTTTTTTTGCGGCCGAGCTTGGACGGCACCAACCCCGAGAGCAACAGCAACAACAACGTGATCGACAGTCGGCAGCAGCAGCAGCAGCAGCAAGAGGTTGTTGACCCCAGTCCTCCGGCGAACCCCCGTGTCCGGTCGGAATCCTGCACGGACGAACTCCTCGCCGCTGGTGGTCGAGTCGCAACCGAAGATGTGTTGAGGAGCCTCTCGGGTGGCGGCGGCGGCCTCGGCGAGGGGGGTGGGGGGTGTTGCGGTGCCGCTGAGGGCGGGGGGGCAGATCAGGGAAGGTCACCGGCGGCGCGGAGCCAAGTGTCTCGATCGCAGAGCTTGGACCTGAGCAGGGCAGCGGGAGGGGAGCACCGACAGCCCCCCCCCTGCGGTGGTGCGGAAGAAGAGCTTTCCAGGAGGAAGGTGAGAGTAGATAGTTTGTGTGTGAGGCACTCATCTTACCCAAGAGAAGATTTGCGTAACGCTTGCCCCCCGCCCCACCCCGCCCCCAAGGTGTTTACCATCGGGGTTGGGTTTTCGTCGCTTGGCAACGACGTTGTAAAACAAGCCGATTCACTTCGTGAACTCGGCAACCAGGTTACCTTTTTTTTTTTTTACCTCCGTTTTTTTTTTTGGCGGTAACCATAATGGTGGTCGAGTAGATCATGTTGTGCGGGGTGGAGAACCCTCACTCCGCGCAAGGGGGATGATCGCACCACGTTGTGTTAAAATGGTCAAGCACCCTCGAGGCAGTTACACAGTGCTTACAACTGTCTCTGGAAGTGAAAGCACCAGAAAATAAATTAAGTCATACGCAGCTGTCATCCGTACGCAAGGAAGTAAGCACAAGATGCCGAACACCCTTAGCAGGATGCAGCGCACCCTTCATGCGACTCGCCGAATATCTCACGGCGCTTCGCGCTTGGTGATGTGAGAGCCTGGTCCGGTGAGAACCCGGCATGCTCCGTCCCGGCTTTGTAGGGATGCGAGGTCAATGGTCTAACGACTACGGCATGCACGACTATGAGTACACCCCCCCCCCCCGCCCCACCCCGCCACCATCCGTCTCAGAGTGATTTCACGTAGCCCTCGCACCAATACCTCGCTTCTCCCTCACAACCCTCTTCCTACTTGGTCTCGAACCCACTGTTAGGGGTGTCAAAGCAGCAAATTTCCTATAGGAAAAATTTGAAAAAGTGACCTCGGATCTTCCTGATGGAAATCGACTGACCAATAAAATTGCACGGAACGGTCCGAAAGCTCCCTAAAAACACCTGACGCGCACGCGCGAGGGCGCCGCTCGTGTGTGTGCTCTGATGTGCATTGCTGTGGGACACAACACAACACCTTTGCACGGTCCCACTCTAGAACACATGCCTCATGACACACCCGAGCAGCAGCCGGGCGGTGAAGCCACGCAGACACCTGCCGCCGCCGCTGCTGCTGCTGAAAAAAACAGCAGCAGCAGCAGCGGCGGCGGCGGCGGCGGCGGCGGCGGCAGCGAGGTTGAGCCTGGCTCTCTTCCACAATTTTCTTACTTTTGACCAACTCCTCCTTCGTTTCCTCCAGCCTTCTCTCTACAACGGTGAGGCTGCCGCGTTCGATAGCGCGCCGCGTGTTATCTTCTGCTGACGCGGCAACCACACTGCCCCGTCCTCTCTTCAAACTTCGTTTTGCTTTGATTCAGCTTTCGCGCAGCGCGCCTCCTGCTGCCGAACGGCGCGGACCTCGATTTTTTTTTTTGGGAGAGACTGCTGGTGTGGCCGCTGCATCCCCACTGGAGGGGCCGTTTCCAGACATGTAGATCTCGTGGTTGGCTGATGCGATTTGGATGCGGTTTGTTGNCTTCTCTCTACAACGGTGAGGCTGCCGCGTTCGATAGCGCGCCGCGTGTTATCTTCTGCTGACGCGGCAACCACACTGCCCCGTCCTCTCTTCAAACTTCGTTTTGCTTTGATTCAGCTTTCGCGCAGCGCGCCTCCTGCTGCCGAACGGCGCGGACCTCGATTTTTTTTTTTGGGAGAGACTGCTGGTGTGGCCGCTGCATCCCCACTGGAGGGGCCGTTTCCAGACATGTAGATCTCGTGGTTGGCTGATGCGATTTGGATGCGGTTTGTTGTGTGGTATAGCTGTAAACCCAAGGTAGAGGGCTGTAAGCTCGCTTTTTCGAGAGGAGCAAAGGTCGCCTTGGGCGTGGAGCAAAGAGCTAAAAAAAACATGTTTATTGGTGTTGTTCGTCAGCCCTTTAACTTAAGAGAAAACTGAGCTTGCAGTCGCCTCTATTGGACCTGTGTCCAGGTGTGTGTAACGTATGAAGAGCCACGCTGCTGCCTGGGCGCAGAACTACCTGCACAAACAAACTGAATGATGTATTTTTTAATCAGTATAATAGGCGGGCACTCTCAAGAGCCGAAAAAAAACCCAATCCGTGTGCCCCCCCCCAAAATCGCTGAATAGACCAATTACATTTTTGGCTCCATAATCTGCCCGATTGACACCCTTAACTGTGTTGTTGTAATCGTCTCAGGTTCGGAGGAAGACAAAAGTCGTCCGGAGTATCGCATCGACGCCGAAGCGAGGTGTTGGTAGCGGCGGCATCGCCGCCGGCGGTTGGGATAAAAGCCCCCTCACAGATAGCGGCGGCGGCGGCGGCGGCGGCGGCGGCGGTAGGGGAGATAGTGGTGGTGGAATGTACAGCAACGACCAGGGTGGCGGCGGCGGCAGCAATCACCATCGCCATTCGAGGACGAGCAGAAGCAGCATCGTTGCGCACGTGCCGCCAGAAACTCTGTGTTCCAACCCCCTCAAGCCCTGCGGCGCGTGCATGGAGTGGCTCAAGAAGATCGCGGAGGTGAACCCGGACTTCAAGGTCATCACCTTCACGGACTCTCGCTGCGGAGGCGTCTACATCGAGGACGTGGCCCAGATACCGTAGAAGAACTAGGAAGACTCCGGTTTCTCTCCACCGTTGATTCCATGCAGTAGTCCGCAAAGCGCACAAATCCTTACGCAGTAGGTGGATAATATGATTGTTGATGCGGTCAACACTGCATCAAGTGTAGTACGTTGGCGCCGGGAGGTAAGCTAAACGACCAGGCCTTTGGTTGAATGCCTGCAAACAAACATGGACAGGACGCGTAGGGATATTCGCGCGCGTTGCCGGTCATGCTGTAGGAAGTGCGTTGTTTCTAGTACTCCTGAATGCAGTTTCGCGCTGTCGTAGTCTCTGTGTTGAATGAAATCCCGCGGAACCTCTAGGTGCGATGTCGGTCGGGTCGTGTCGTAGTGTTTGATTGGAAGATAAGATAAGAGTAGGCGGTGATCCGGTCCTGCAAGGCAGAGCACAACATCATCATCTGTCGCAAGCTGTCCACAACAACAATGCCGCCGCCGATCATTCCTCTTGCACTTACATAGTGCCCCGAACAGATGATGGTGGGGGGTGACGCATGGTTTTCGAGCCACAAGGGACCGATGACTGCATATATATTGTAGCACCGTGCTGAAGGAAGTAGACTACATTGTTGTTGTTGTCTTTACATTGGCCGTGGACCCATGTATTCGGTACCACCAGTCAGTATGGTGCAAGAAACCTTACCTGAACTTCCGAGTTCACTCCAACCCACGAATCAACGCAGTCGGCTCGATCGATACTACTCTCGTCGATTTTACATGCTCGAAGCAGCAACAGGCGCGAGGAAAGAGAAGATTCACCCGCTCCACTACCGAGTGACCCACTTTGTGAGGATGCTGTGGGTGTCGGCGAATTCAAAAGTCGTCACAAGCATGAACGAACATGAAACAATAAATTGCCGTGTGCCCACGGCTGCTTCCCCAATATTGATTTTTCTGCAAGTGCCTTATGTGTGCTTGCTGGGTACGATGACGTCACAAGAAGAAAGGCGCTACTACTATTAGGCGTCACACGAAGAAAGACATTACTACTATTACGTTCGTAGTGAAGAGTAAGCAGAAGACTCCAAAATCCCCTGTCGTGCCGTTTGTGTCGTGTAACGAGATAACGCGTGACGGCGAGGGTTGTTGATGTTGTTGTTGTTGTTGTTGTTGTTGTTGTTGTTCTTCGTATTATAAAACCGCTCCGGTCTCCGCTCAGTACCTTCTAATGTCCGTACTGGTCCAACCGACGCGGACGCCTTCCGTTGTCACAAGCTAACTTCCCCAAAGGGGGTACACCTTTCTCAAACTTAACTGTCGTCTAACTGGACACCAGAAAAATTCCTCCTATTATGCGCGATTTATTTTTTCTATCCAAACATAAGGAAGAAAAGGAAACAACTAAGGAAAAGGTCCCTAACCAGGGTACAGGCGATCGACCCCGGGCAAAAAATGTGACTATTACGGTGGAACACAAAAATCAAGACCAAATTGGGCACTTCCCGTTGTCTCAAAAAAAAAAGTTCTGTCAAAATGCTCTCTCCCGCGAAGTTGATAGAAAAACACACTCTTTTGCAACTTTTGCACGCAATAATTGAGCAACACACACACTGGGTGGGTTCAACAGAAAGCCTGTTACATCAGCTATCGAATGGCGCTGGTTTCATGCCCATCGAACAGTCACAGCACGAAGTGAACGGCGCCAAAAGGAGGCACTTCATGGCAGCAATTTTCAAGCGGGCATACTTGTTGCGGTTCGGGAGAATTAGGTTCTAAAATAGAACCTGACGCCAACTACTCAACATGGCGCGTACAACGCCAAAAACAAGATTGAATTTGAGCCGGCCGTTGCAGAGCAACTCGCCGTCCACGCCAGGCACCTGGCCAATCCAGCACCCACCATGACCAAGCGTGGTAGAAGGGTACCGACAGGCGGCACCAGTGGCCGTCCACCTAAAGCGATCAAGGGGGTCAACGCTGCGGCCGCGAGAAATGCAAAGGCTATTAACAAGCTCCTGGATGATATGGAGAAGAGAGAGGCGGCCACCGCCGCTGCCGAAGCAGCTCTCGCGGCCAAGGAAGAAGACGTGAAGGCCATGGAGGCGTCAGTGGCCAGGGATCGGGAGAAGCTCGCGCGGGACATCGCGAGGTCAGACGTGCTTCAACAGCAGCGTGAACAGCGAGAGCAGGATCGTGTCAGCAAGGCTGCTGAAGCGGCGACTTCCAAGCTTCCCCCTCTCGCGCTGAAGTTTGTCGAGGACTCTGTGCAATCACTGAGGCCCGAGACTGGCGAGCTCACCACCCTGCAGCAGTCGCGGATCATTCTCATGCTGTACTTCGACCTGGTGAAAGGAGGCAGCTCTGAGAACCACGCAAAGGAGCAGGTGAGAGCCAAGAAATATGGCTGTTGCGTACAAATACCAGTATAAAGACGCATGTCGTTGTTACGTTTTTACAGCACAATGTACTTTTTTGGTACAAATGTATAGTCTATATGCATTTACATACATCCCACCCAAGATTTTTGTACAAGCAACAACAGTGCTTGACATCATGCCAGTACCGCTGCCGGCCCATATCTTCGCATTGCTTGCACTGCTGTACTGATGCCCATTACTGCTGTACAATACTTGAGTGGTATGTATATCGGTATGCTGCCAGCTGTACAGCAGTGTATCAGTACAGCAGTTACAGCGCTTTGTACCGCTGAATGTAAAGGAATGTATGTGCATGGCACCACCATTCTCCTCGCGTGCGCTGTACGTTGTCTACACTCTGCCGTCCCTTTAACACCGGCTTTCGTACACCAACGCAATACACTGCAACGCAATACACTGCTGTATTCTTACAAACTTTTTCCCACCCTCCCTCTGTGTGGATGACCCATCTTTGTCAGGTCGCGAAGACCTTGAGGATCGGTACGGACAAGTCCTGGCGGTTCGCACACTCTGGTATGACAAGCAGGAGTTGTACGAGNCACACAGCAGTTACAGCAGCGCTTTGTACCGCTGAATGTAAAGGAATGTAAGTGCATGGTACCACCATTCTCCTCGCGTGCGCTGCACGTTGTCTACACTCCGCCGTCCCTTTAACACCGGCTTTCGTACACCAACGCAATACACTGCAACGCAATACACTGCTGTATTCTTACAAACTTTTTCCCACCCTCCCTCTGTGTGGATGACCCATCTTTATCAGGTCGCGAAGACCTTGAGGATCGGTACGGACAAGGTCCTGGCGGTTCGCACACTCTGGTATGACAAGCAGGAGTTGTACGAGACCAACGGGAAGGGGCGAGGCAAGGCCACCAGCGTCGACGACGGGCGACGTGTCATCACCAAGGAGCAAGAGGATGGACTGCGCGAGTTCATCAAGGGCGAGCACGAGGCGGGACGTCAGGTCTTCCGCCGTACCGTCAAGGATTACTTGGAGTGTTCGTTCGGATTAGAGATGTCGAATCGTGCCGTGGGAGGGTTGCTGCAGCGCCTTGGCTTCAAGCGCCGTAGGGGTAGGATCAAAATACCCCCGTTGAACGAGTAGAGGAAAAACCGCATCCGCCTCTTCCTTGTTAAGATGGACCTCGCGAAGAGGGCCGAGGACGCTGGGGTCGCAGTCATTGTGTACATGGATGAGAGCTTTGTTCACCAGGCGCGTGGTTCCGCGTACTACCGGATGAGAGCTTTGTTCACCAGGCGCATGGTTCCGCGTACTACCGGATGAAAGCTTTGTTCACCAGGCGCATGGTTCCACGAACTACCGCGCATGGTTCCGCGTACTACCCGGTAGTACGCGGAACCGTGCGCCTG